GCGTGGCACATCCCATAGGCGTGGAATATTTATCAGCTATAACTTCGGAACCATAAGCCCCATGAACTTGAAATTTGGTATGCAGCAGGCACAGCTACGGTAGGTGCTTATAGTAAGGTGTATATGAATGAGTTTAAAAAAGGGGGCGTGGCACATCCCATAGGCGTGGAAATTTTTTCAGCTATAACTTCGCAACCATAATCCCCATGAACTTGAAATTTGGTATGCAGACTCAGCTACGGTAGGTGCTTATAGTAAGGTGTATATGAATAAGTTTAAAAAAGGGGGCGTAGCACATCCCGTAGGCGTGGAATTTTTTATCAGCTAAAACTTCGAAATCATAAGTCATGTGAACTTTGAATTTGGGATGCAGACATATCTATGGTAGGCGCTTATAATAAGGTATATATAAATGAGTTTGTAAAAGGGAGCGTGGCACATCCCATAGGCGTGGAATATTTATCAGCTATAAATTCGAAACCATAAGCCACATAAACTTAAAATTTGGTATATAGGCATATCTACGGAAGGTGCTTATAGGAAGGTATATATGAAGGAGTTAGTAAAAGGAGGCATACGGAACCATAAGCCCCATGAACTTGAAATTTGGTATGCGGACTCAGCTACGGTAGGTGCTTATAGTAAGGTGTATATGAATAAGTTTAAAAAAGGGGGCGTAGCACATCCCGTAGTTGTGGAATATTTTACCAGCTATAAATTCGAAAGCATAAGTCACATGAACCTTAAATTTGGTACGCAGGCTTAGCTATGGAAGGTGCTTATAGTAGGCTATAAATAAATGGGTTTGTAAAAGGGGGCGTGGCACATCCCGTAGGCGTGGAATTTTTTGTCAGCTATAACTTCGAAATCGTAAGTCATATGAACTTGAAATTTAGTATGCAGGCACAGCTACGGTAGGTGCTTATAGTATGGTATAAATAAATGGGTTTGTAAAAGGGGGCGTGGCACATCCCGTAGGCGTGGAATTTTTTGTCAGCTATAACTTCGAAATCGTAAGTCATATGAACTTGAAATTTAGTATGCAGGCACAGCTACGGTAGGTGCTTATACTTAGTAAGGTGTATATGAATAAGTTTAAAAAAGGGGGCGTAGCACATCCCGTAGTTGTGGAATTTTTTATCACCTATAACTTCGAAATCATTAGTCACATGAGCTTTGAATTTGGGATGCAGACATATCTATGGTAGGCGCTTATAAGGTATATATAAATGAGTTTGTAAAAGGGGGTTTGGCACATCCCATAGGCGTGGAATATTTATCAGCTATAACTTCGATACCATAGGCCACACGAACTTGAAATTTTGTATGCAGGCTTAGCTATGGTAGGTGCTTATAGTAGGTTGTAAATAAATGAGTTTGTAAAAGGGGGCGTGGCACATCCCATAGGCGTGGAATTTTTTATCAGCTATAACTTCGGAACCATAAGCCCCACGAGCTTGAAATTTGGTATGCAGGTATAGATATGGTAGGCGCTTATAAAGAGATATATAAGTGAGTTTTTAAAAGGAGGCGCCATGAAAAGAAATATTTCTACCAAAAATTTACCCGCTAGGTGGCGCTGGGGTCAGGATATTCCTAAAAATTGCATTTACTTGCCGATTTGGCTCATATTTTGAACATAAGTTAGCCAATTTAAAAGGAATATTTGGACTAAAAAATTACACGATAGGAGGCGCTGGGGTCGGTATATTCTCAAAAATTATTTTACGCTAAGAGAAGGATAGATATCTACTATATATTTGTGGAAGTATGTATGTATGTGCCAGGTTACAGCCAAAACGGACTGACAGAATCGAACGAAATTCGGACAGACTATTGCCATTATACCTGGACCTATATTAGGGAGAAAAAAATCGGGATTCGACAAGGGGTATAGCACCTCCCATAGGCGTGAAATTTTTTATCAGCTATAACTCCGGAACCACAAGCCCCACGAACTTGAAATTTGGTATGCAAGCACAGATACGGTAGGTGCTTATTGTAAGGTATGTATATATACATGAGTTTGTACAAGGGGGCGTGGCACATCCCATAGACTTGGAATATTTATTAGCTATAACTTCGGAACTATCTAAGGGGGTCGGCTCTACTTTTGGCTGCTGAACACCGGACGGAGATGGACGGAGCGATGTTGCGCTGAAGGTTAGCGAGGAGGACGACGGCTCCTTGTTGCTGGGCGTTGACGACGATGCTGATTTGGTCGTAATGTCGGAACTGATGTTGGTTGGATGGCTTGCTCCTACTAGGCTGACGGTGGCGGTGATTGTCTGCTGGCGGCTCTGTGTTACTGTCGTGGTGGGGGTGTTGGGTTGACGATGGTGGGGCTGCTGTACTCCTAGGGGACGAACTGGGCCACGTAAAGCTAACTTTGGTTGCATCTGGGCGCAACTCCAGGCGGCTTTCAAAAGCGATGGGGTAGTTTGGTTATGCGCGAATAAATAGTGGGCGACCGACTAGTCTGTTTTCGCCGAAATAAAAACCGCACGTGTAAAGTAAATATTATTTATTCCGTTCAATTGAATATAAAAAGGAAAAACTTAGATTTTTTGACCGTACCAAGTGGTTGGAAAAACTTAGATTTTGCGACCGTACCAAGTTGGAAAAAATTCTGTCTCTAATTTTTTTGTTCTTTGTTTTGACATTTGCTGCTTGCGCTGTATTAACGACTTTGGCGTTGCCAACTATGCATTTCAAGATGAAAATTTCTTAAGGTTTAGGGTTAACAATTCTTATCAATTCAATATGAGCAAATATAGAGATCATTAATTTGAATAGCGCAAAACATGTAAATTCAAATTTAACAATTCAAGGCATAAGAATATAGGTGTTAACCGACAGACATTTCTCGTTTAACTATTCTGCCGCACCTAGGCGCGGTAAGCCACTATACTATTCTCTAGCTCCCGCAGTTTACGTATTGCATCCCGGAGCAATTGCCTTGACAGCTTTCCGTTCGCCTTGGTTATGCGGATTCTCTGGGTGGTGGTATGGATTTGCTTCGGTCTTTGCCTCATATGCGGATGCTTGTGCTTGTTAGCGCTGAGTTCAGTACGGCGTAGACGGTAGGGACGATGTGCGGAAGGCCCTTTACGCGATACGGGAGCGTGGTATTGCAGAGAATTATTAGCGAGTTCCGTCTTTCGGTGAAGTAGGGTATGGTGACGCTGACCACATAGCCTGCAGATTCCAGCGGAGGGACAGTCCTTGCTGTGATGCGATAAGGCGAGGCAGTTGGTGCAAAATTTGTGTGCACTGGCGACCAGATAACGTTGGGTCGGCTGCATTGCGCGAAACACTTGGCATACCCGCAACGCGTGATGTCGTGCGCACAGACGGCATCGATTGAAATCGGTGGTTCCCTCTTCTGGCTGCGCCGCTGGAGTTATGTCAGTCGTCATGCCTACTTCGGGCCGGTGCAGTTGCTTAGGCTGTAGCGATGTTCGAGGTGCTGGTTTCGGAACGCTGCTGCAAGTATCCATCTGTAAGTAAGCCGTGGAAGTTAGACTATCAGTGGGGAGTCTACAAGGCAATTGAAGAAACGTGGGATCAGAATATTTTATTCATATACAGATTTTTAAATACATTTGAGCTAAGAGAGTCTGTTGTCAGGAAAGTGCTTAAAGGCTTTAATTATTGCGCATTTGGAGAAGTCAGGGGGGCGTCAGCCATTGGCAACGGGCATATTTTGACTATGGGGCGAGTAAGGGTGCCAGATTGGGTGCGTACGTCGACAACTCGAATATGTCCGTCTTTGCCAGGATGTGACCTTTCGATACGGCCTAAACTCCATTCAATGGGAGGTAAGGTATCGTCAACAATAAGAACGCAGTCACCGACTTTCGGTGCTGCCTGGATATTTTTCCATCTATATCTCTTCTGTAAATCCTTGATATAATCCTCTTTCCACCTTCGACTAAACTCGTGATATAACACCTTTACTTTCTCCCACCTATTAAGGAGGGACAGATGGTTGTGGTCGACTTCAGGGAGTGCTAAGAGGGGGGCCAGGCGTAAGCGCTGTTAGGTCTGTTGGGTCATGCGATAGAGCAGAGATTGGCCGGGAGTTTAATACGGCCTCTATTCGGACTAGCAGGGCGGTGAACTCTGCAAAGGTGAATTCGCTGGGTCCAGCAGTCCTTTTGAGATGCATTTTAAAACTTTTAACTGCGGACTCCCATNTAACAGGGTGGTGAACTCTTCAAATGTGAATTTGCTGGGTCCAGCAGTCCTTTTGAGATGCATTTTGAAACTTTTGACTGCGGACTCCCACAAACCGCCCATATGGGGGGCTCCTGGTGGAATAAATTCCCAGTTGATGCCTTGAGGTGAGTATTTCTGGATGATGTCTTGAGATACCTCCTTCAAAAATTCGATGAACTCCTTTTCGGTTGCTCGTTTGGCCCCTACAAAAGTTNACAAAGGTTTTGCCATTGTCGCTCATCATCTTAGCGGGATAACCCCGTCGTCCGACAAAGCGAGCAAACGCAGCGAGAAATCCGGCAGTGGTCAGATCGGAGCACAGCTCGAGGTGGACTGCTTTTGTAGTGAAACATACAAAAACAGCCACATAGCCCTTCACCAACGTGCGCGATCTTAGCATTGAGGCCTTTATCTGGAAAGGTCCAGCAAAATCTACGCCAGTAATAGTAAAAGGCGGAGCATACGTGCATCGTTCCGAGGGGAGGGCCGACATTATCTGCGATTGCGTTTGCTGCTTATGGACCGTGCAACTTTTGCATTGGAAGATGCATTTTTTTATGAGGGGCTTAAGCCGAGGGATATAAAATTCCTGCCTTATAACTTGCTGCATGAGACGGATTTCTGCATGGAGGAGCAGTTCGTGCAGAAAGCGTGTGAATAGGATCGGGATTTTTCGGGAATAATGATGGGATGTCTTTCATTATAGGCCAAAGTTGCGTGAGCTAACCGACCATTCACGCGGAGCAACTCGGTTTTATCTAAAGACGGGTTGAGGGGAAGCAGAGAACTCCATTTATCTATGGGTTTGGAGTTTTCTAGACAGGCCTTTTCCCGAGGAAAGTAGCGAGATTGGGTCAAAGCTATGAGCCTGTATTTGCTGTTACGGAGGTCATCGTGGGAGAGAGAGATGGAATTACTTGAACCAACCTGTCTGACTCAGTCTCGACGACACTGTATAAATTTGAAGGCATACGCCATCACTCTAAGTGCCCGGGGAAACGAGAAGAAGCGATCAAGGATATCGTGATCTTCCTCTGTGGCATGTAATGCTTCGATTCGGCGCAGTTCTGGAGGGGAGATGTTTCGGGTGGCCGGTTTTGGCCAACCTTCGGGTGGGCTTAGTAGCCATTCCGTGGCATTCCACCAAAGCGGAGAGGTCGCTAAGTCCATGGGTCTGCATCGTCTAGTGCCCAGATCTGCGGGGGTGTCTCTGCTGCCCACATGTCGCCAGGTGGCGTTTCCGACGAGATCTAAAATTTGTGCCGTGCGTCTTCCATGAATGAGGCAGTTTTTCTAGCCATGCCAAGACGATCTCGGAGTCAGACCAGAGTATCAGTTTCCGCTTAGAGAGGTCGAGTTGAGACTGCACTACGGCGACCAGCTTCGCTAGGAGAAGGGCGCCGCAGAATTCAAGTCGGGGTAAACTGGTGGTTCGGAGAGGCGCTACTTTGCCTTTGGAGACCAGCAGATGAGAAGAGGTCCTGCTACCGTTCGTGGTTCGCACATATATGTTAGCGCAGTATGCTTTCTCGGAAGCGTCGCAGAAGCCATGTAGTTCGACTTGGTCGGCGGGGACAAAATATACCCATTGGGGTATTTGGATGCTAGAAATGGCTTGGAGATTGGTTGCAAATTGCATCCATTTCGTCAGACGGAGGGGCTTGACCTGGTCATCCCAGTCAGTTCCGTCCAGCCATAGTTCTTGTAGCAGGATTTTGGCTTGGATCATTATGGGCGTAAGCCATCCTGCGGGGTCAAACAATTTGGCGACTGCCGAGAGGATTTGTCGTTTTGTACTGGCGGACGACGCTGGGATGGAATCAACGGTATACGAAAACGTATCGGTTAGAGCGTTCCATTGAATCCCGAGCGTTTTAGTGGTACTTGCTGTTTCAAATTCTAGGAAGTTTGTGTCAAGCAGGTTGTCTTTGTTGATGTTTTTCAAAATTTCAGGGTGGTTGGCTGTAATCTTTTTAAGTGGGAAGCCTGCCGAATTGAGCGCTTGGATGACTTGAGCGAGGGATTCTTCGGCTGAAGGGAGATCATGACCACCGGAAAGTATATCATCAACGTACGTTTCATTGTTTAATATGGGCACCGCTAAGGGGTACGTGGTTTGCACGTCATCTGCGAGCTGGTGAAGGGTACGTATGGCGAGGTAGGGTGCGCAATTCAAACCAAACGTGACAGTTTTCAACTTATAATCTTGTATTTGGCTATTTGTAGATGGTCGAAATACGATTCGTTGATAGTCTTGGTCGTCTTTGTGTAGCAGTATCTGTCGATACATTTTTTCGACATCGCCGTTAAAGACAAATCGATACATACGCCACTTGAGGATCAATAGCATCAAGTCGGGTTGAAGGGTTGGTCCNTTCGAAGCATTGAAGACGACTCGGACTTTGGTCGTTCTTTTTTCGGGTTTTATAACCGCGTGATGTGGGAGGTAGAACGACCAATATTTGCCTTGAGAAGATATCTCATGGGAAGTTGTTTCTTCCATATGGTTGAGGGTGAGATATTCGTTTAATACATTTTCGTAAAGTGATTTTAGATCGCCTTTTCTGAGCAAATTTCTTTCCATGCTCAGGCACTGTTGGAGGGCGGGGGTGCGAGACGGGCCAAGGGAGATTGGGTCTGGGAAGCTGGGCTTAAAGGGCAGTCTGACTACATAACGACCATCAGTTGCTCGTGTAGTGGTGGACTGATAGAATTTTTCAAAATTTTCATCGTCAGGCCAAATAAGTTTGGGTTTCGGAACCTCTTCAAGCTCCCAAAACTTTCGCAGCTGGGAATATAAAATCTCATTGGAGATCGGTACAGCTTGAGTAGAGAAACAGGCTATTTTTTCGGGGATTTGACCACTTAAGATCCAACCGAAAATGGTGTTTTGTGCAAGCAGATTTTTGGAAATTTTCTCAATGCCTTCCAGCATTATTTCAGGAATGAGGTCACTGCCAGTGACCAGATCGATTTGGGACGGGGAGCGGCAGTTGGTGTCTGCTAGCTGGTGGTGAGAACATTTTTCTCGTTGTTCGAGAGTTGGCTGGAATTTGGGAAGCATTTTCGTCAACTGGGGCAGGACTATTGCTTGAGCCTTTATTTTCGTGGTCAAATCTGCGGATGCTAAGATGAGGTTGCATNGGTGAGACCATTTTTCTCGTTGTTCGAGAGTTGGCTGGAATTTGGGAAGCATTTTCGTCAACTGGGGCAGGACTATTGCTTGAGCCTTTATTTTCGTGGTCAAATCTGCGGATGCTAAGATGAGGTTGCATAGTTTGTTCGAAGTCTGAACAACTCTTCCTCCCATGCCAGAAATTTCAAAGTTAGAAGCTTCGTATGATAGCCTTAGTTTATTTTGGGCTTTGGAGGAAATAAAGGTTCGTTCCGAACCCTGATCTATGAGAGCTCTGAGTTTGAAGATCTCGCCCTTGTGTTCAACTGGAACTATTGCTGTGGGAAGGAGAATCTTGCTCTCATTTTCCGAGTAGAACGACTTTACTCTTGCTCTGTTTGAGCACGAAGGCTCCTCATGATATGTTGCCGACCCAGCTGGACTTTGTGGGTTGGAATTAGCGGGCGTCGTCAAAGCGACCTGAGATGTCGTTCTTTGAGTTCGAGACTGCTGTCTTGGAGGCATGGGGGGCGTGTCTTCATGAAGCATTGAGTGATGCCGTTCTTGACAATGGGAGCAAGTATATTTACTTGAGCAGTCTTTTATCAAGTGGGTCTGACATAGGCAATTAAAACAGAGGTTGTGTTCTCTCACAAACTTTCTGCGCTCCTGAGTTGGCAGGTGACGAAATTTGGAGCACTGAGAGAGAGTGTGTTGAGGTTTATTACACATTGGGCATTTGTAAGGTTTTGTGCGTTGTTCCGTCATGTGCGCTCGGATTTGGGAAAAGGAGTTGTTTTGAGAGTTCTGAGGAATGGGGGGTTTAGGGAATGGCCTACTGTTTGGGGGGGTTGGCCTCGAGTAGCTCATATTCGAAGGATTAGTCCGCGGAGGTTTGGGTGCACGAAATTGATCTACTCTTTCAACCACCTCGTATCGAGTAGTGAGGAACTGGCTCATTTGGGACCAATTCGGGAAGTCTTTCTTGGAACTGAGGGNCGTTCTTGACAATGGGAGCAAGTATATTTACTTGAGCAGTCTTTTATCAAATGGGTCTGACATAGGCAATTAAAACAGAGGTTGTGTTCTCTCACAAACTTTCTGCGCTCCTGAGTTGGCAGGTGACGAAATTTGGAGCACTGAGAGAGAGTGTGTTGAGGTTTATTACACATTGGGCATTTGTAAGGTTTTGTGCGTTGTTCCGTCATGTGCGCTCGGATTTGGGAAAAGGAGTTGTTTTGAGAGTTCTGAGGAATGGGGGGTTTAGGGAATGGCCTACTGTTAGGGGGGGTTGGCCTCGAGTAGCTCATATTCGAAGGATTAGTCCGCGGAGGTTTTCCAAAAGNGATGGGTTTTAGGTTCATAAGAGTGCGGATTTGGTTATCTACTAGAACCCATTTGTTTTCATAGCGAGCCTTTAGTGCTTCCCATGAAAGTTCGAAATTATCGTCACTCAAAGGGAATTGTTTAACTATTTGGGCAGCTTTTCCTTGCGTTTTGTACCTGAGATGGTAAAACTTCTGCGCCTTAGTGAGCTTAGGGTGATTTATATAGACCGCCGTGAACATATCACGGAAGGACGGCCATTGCTCATAACCCCCATAAAAGGTTTCGGTGTCGCAAGGTGGGACGTTTAAGCTTATGCCTGAAGTTTCCTGAGGAAGTGATGTACTGGCTTTGGGAGTGGGACTTGTGGTTTGTGCTACTAACTGGAGTTGGTCTCCGATTTGGGCTTTTGTTTCTTCATATATAATCAAACATGACCTATATTTACTGTAGGCAGACGCTCTAAAGTCTTCGGGGAGGTCATGTTCTTCAATTTCCAAAGTCGAATCAAAGGCGTTTTGAACTCTATTCCAAAAGTTTTCTAGGCTCTTGTCTTTTATTTTCAGTACAGACTCAGTATTTTCTTCGATCGGGGCTGATCTGAATCGGGCGCAGTAATCCATCAAATTATCTGTCTCCGATATGAATTTAGTACATATGACCGATTGTTTTGCCTTTTTTGGCTTTCCGCTTGAACGCGTAGAGCGCTGAGATTCTGCGGGAGTCTCGAGAATTTTTTCTTCTTCGCTCATTCTGGGACTTTTTGACTTATCTTCAGTGCCAGTTAGGCCTAGCATTCGAAATCGAATAAGCGGACCTAATTAAGGTTGGGATTTGGGGGTGATCAAATACAATCGGGGCTTTACTGTGCGGTCGCAACTAATAGGGTTTGAAGTAATGACAGGTGAGTGCCTGGAATCTAAGAGAGTGAGGGAAAACTAATCAGTGAGAAAATTCTAACTTTTTGAGCCTTTATGAGGGATTTCGGATCAACGTGTTGGGGATTTCCACGCTTGACCCTGTTCACGCAAACCACAATTAAGATAATTTGAGCGCATTACCTATCTAATGGATGTATTTTTTTTTCGAGCACTGTAACCTTTGCCTTTTTTATGGGTATTTCTTATAGGGGTTCACTGTACGTTATTTTATTTGCTTTGTAGCGCACTTTCTTTTATATGCCCAATACGTAGTTGGGTATGTGGGTTTAAATGTATTTATGTATATATAGGAATAACTAAATTAGGGGGTTAGTTACGTATTCCCAGCTATAATTCCTTGTATGTTTGTTTGGGATTAACTGATTAGCCGATGTATATACTATGAGCTTTGGTATATAAAGGGTGTATATGTGTATATATGTGTGTACGCCAAGCACTATTTGCTTGTATGCAACAAATGTTAAGTGAAGTACATATGTATATATGTATTATTGCAAAGGCCTTTGTGTGGGTGTAGAAATTCGTGAAAATTGGCGCACAAAAATAAAATCGGCGGGAAGAGTTAAAATATGGCGGGAAATATGAAAATCTATGGCCGGAGCAAAGGAAAATGTATTACTTAATGGTGGCGTTTACTAAACATACAAGGAATTATTTTCTGTACTTTTAAACTTTTGTTTCACCGCAGGGTTAGTAAAAATTGATTTTTACTCACGGTTTTGCTGGGGATACTTGTGTTTTGAGGTTATGGATTTCTATTCCACCGGTGCGGCTCTTTGTTGGCGCCGAAGGACCAATATTTAAGGGGGTCGGCTCTACTTTTGGCTGCTGAACACCGGACGGAGATGGACGGAGCGATGTTGCGCTGAAGGTTAGCGAGGAGGACTACGGCTCCTTGTTGCTGGGCGTTGACGACGACGCTGATTTGGTCGTAATGTCGGAACTGATGTTGGTTGGATGGCTTGCTCCTACTAGGCTGACGGTGGCGGTGATTGTCTGCTGGCGGCTCTGTGTTACTGTCGTGGTGGGGGTGTTGGGTTGACGATGGTGGGGCTGCTGTACTCCTAGGGGATGAACTGGGCCACGTAAAGCTAACTTAGGTTGCTTCTGGGCGCAACTCCAGGCGGCTTTCAAAAGCGATGGGGTAGTTTAGTTATGCGCGAATAAATAGTGGGCGACCGACTAGTCTGTTTTTGCCGAAATAAAAACCGCACGTGTAAAGTAAATATTATTTATTCCGTTCAATTGAATATAAAAAGGAAAAACTTAGATCTTTTACTGTACAAAGTGGTTGGAAAAACTTAGATTTTTCGACCGTACCAAGTGGTTGAAAAAAATTCTGTCTCTAATTTTTTTGTTCTTTGTTTTGTCATTTGGTGCTTGCGCTGTATTAACGACTTTGGCGTTGCCAACTATGCATTTCAAGATGAAAATTTCTTTAGGTTTAGGGTTAACAATTCTTATCAATTCAATATGAGCAAATATAGAGATCATTAATTTGAATAGCGCAAAACATGTAAATTCAAATTTAACAATCAATTGTTAAATTTGAATTTACATGTTTTGCGCTATTCAAATTAATGATCTCTATATTTGCTCATATTGAATTGATAAGAATTGTTAACCCTAAACCTAAAGAAATTTTCATCTTGAAATGCATAGTTGGCAACGCCAAAGTCGTTAATACAGCGCAAGCAGCAAATGTCAAAACAAAGAACAAAAAAATTAGAACAGAATTTTTTCCAACCACTTTGTACGGTCGAAAAATCTAAGTTTTTCCACATTTTACAGTATCTAGTTTTTCTTTTTATATTCAATTGAACGGAATAAATAATATTTA